AAAAATCCAAAGTGATACATAATAATATAATCAAACGACTATATACGTATGTAATACGCGAGTGTGTGCGCGTGTACATGTGTCCAGCTAAATTCTTCATCGACCAAAGTTCGTTGGGCTGCTGCAACGACAACGGCCGCGGCCACCATTGCGCACCAGGTGAGTCCGTTACGATTGGAAACCCTTGAAAAATACGTTACAAATTACATATATGGGTCAAAATAATACTTTTTTACAAAACCGTGCGCACGTATGTCACCGATCTTGACGCGCTTTTGGTATGTTATAGTACATGGTAAAAAGGTCCCAAAAAAAAATTTTTAGACCCCCTCCCCCTTCCTACCCCCCACTTCCGGTATAAACGTCCATTTTCGATCTATATTTTTTCTGAGGACATGAAGCAAGTAAAAAATCTGAAAAAATTCATAAAAATACTTTTCCACAATCCAAACAACTTTAAATTTTTTCAGATTTTTTGAGTGCTTCAGGCCTTCAGAAAAAATTATTGAAAATTTCAAAAATCGAGATACGGCGGTATGAGCCGATGTAGTACTCGGAAATTTTTTCAGTTATTTTTCGCATTAAAAAACATAACCTCAATTTTTTTCAGATTTTTTCAGATTACCTAACGCACCTTTTGAAGCCAAAAACCGATTTTTTTGACGAAAATAATTTTTTTAGGACAGTACGGAGCCTCGAAAAATCCGAAAAAAATTTTTTCTTGTTTTTTTTTATCAAAATACGTAATCTCAAATTTTTTTAGATTTTTTAATTGAAGGCGATAGCTTCTAGGGCCGAAAAATGATATTTTTAACAAAAAATGGTTCCTAGAACCCGATGGTTCCAATGAAAAAATTTGAAAATATTTTTTTTGAATTCCTTGTCAAATTTTAATAAATTTTGACCGTTTCAAAAGTTCGATTGAAGCTTCCTAGCTCATTTTAGAGCAGGACAAAGATTAATGCAAAATATCTGAAGACGTTTCTGAAGACATTAAGGAATGATAAAACTCGTTTGATGCTCTAAAATGAGCTAGGAAGCTTCAATCGAACTTTTGAAACGGTCAAAATTTATTAAAATTTGACAAGGAATTCAAAAAAAATATTTTCAAATTTTTTCACCGGAACCATCGGGTTCTAGGAACCATTTTTTGTTAAAAATAGCATTTTTCGGCCCTAGAAGCTATCGCCTTCAATTAAAAAATCTGAAAAAATTTGAGATTACGTATTTTGATGAAAAAAACAAGAAAAAATTTTTTTCAGATTTTTCGAGGCTCCGTACTGTCCTAAAAAAATTATTTTCGTCAAAAAAATCGGTTTTTGGCTTCAAAAGGTGCGTTAGGTAATCTGAAAAAATCTGAAAAAAATTGAGGTTATGTTTTTTAATGCGAAAAATAACTGAAAAAATTTCCGAGTACTACATCGGCTCATACCGCCGTATCTCGATTTTTGAAATTTTCAATGATTTTATCTGAAGGCCTGAAGCACTCAAAAAATCTGAAAAAATTCAAGGTTGTTTGGATTGTGGAAAAGTATTTTTATGAATTTTTTCAGATTTTTTACTTGCTTCATGTCCTCAGAAAAAATATAGATCGAAAATGGACGTTTATACCGGAAGTGGGGGGTAGGAGGGGGGAGGGGGTCTAAAAATTTTTTTTTGGGACCTTTTTACCATGTACTATAACATACCAAAAGCGCGTCAAGATCGGTGACATACGTGCGCACGGTTTTGTAAAAAAGTATTATTTTGACCCATATGTATTCACGTTCGATAAGCGACTGCACTCGTATAAATATGCAGAGTTGAGGCTTGAGCCTCGTGCAACCGTCGAATGTCGATCGTCTCTTTTTTTTTCTCTCTTGGCGTGATCATGTGTGTGTGTGTGTGCGAGTGTCTGCTGCATACATACACACACACGAGCGGCACAGCGTATATAAACGAGTTGGATGGTGTTCTATATTTATTCTGGTGCGCGCGCGCGAATATAAAGGCCAACGATACGCGATCTATATAGATTTGCACGTTTTTCTATATATATAGGCGGCAGTAGCAGCAGCAGCAACCGAGAGCCGGGCTTATTTTAGATCGGGAAATTCTTCTCGCGCTCCTCTGTGTGTGAGCTGCACATAGTCCACTGCATGATACACACACACACACACACACAAACTCATATCGTACGAGAATTCGAGCTCGCTGGGCAAAGGAAAAATTTCGAGGTGTGTGTGTGTGTGTGTGTGTGCGAAAGAGCGAACTTTTTTCCCCTCTTTTTATTTCATTTTATTTTCTTCTTTTCAACTGCTGCTGCTGCTACTGCTCCCAAAGAATAAACTTGTCCAGGTACATATACGTGCAGTATTGCCGTTGCACCGGCACATCGATATGTATCATCGCGTATATAACAGCGTATATACCGCACCGTTCCGTATATACGTACATACTCTCTCGATGATTTAGATACACACGCAGACATATGATGTGCAAGTGCTGCGTCGAGTATATGGAATCGATTCAACGATATACGTATATACCTTTTGAAACATCGCGTACACACGCACACACACACACACACCGAGATGCGATATATAAAAAATTCTGTATTATGATGTATCTATACGCGCGCATGGTACGTGACCCTATACACGCTACGGGTTACTCACAGATACACACACACATACACGAACATTTATTACTTATTACGTAAGCTCGGTGCGCTACCTGCAACTTCTGCAACTGCCGATGCTATTTTCTTTCTCGTTACATTTGTACATTACACATACAGAGAGAGAGAAAAAAAACAGTCGATAAGCAGCGACTCGCGCAGGGATTCGGGTTGTCGCTCGTTACAGTCGACGGCGCAGTATTTTATGCATACCCGTGTTTATATACAAATCCACGAGTGTCACTTATAAACGTTAATAATAATAATGCGCGTGTCACACGGTGCGCGCCGGCGCTACTATCGCACGTTGTTGTTGTTCTTTCGTTCCGCTGCTATATGTATAGAAAAAAAGAAAATATAAGAGACACAGAGAGAGAGCGAAAAACTTTTGTCATGAATGCACACGCGATGTGTGTGAATGCTGCGTCTCTCTGTGCTGCTGCTGCTCGTGGCAGAGCCGCAGCCCGCCGATAAGTTGAAAATCTCTCTCTCTCACTCGGCTGCATAATAAAGAAGTTCGTGTGCGCGCCGCGGTCTAATGTTCGCATAATGCAGCAACATGGGAATCCGCACGCGCGCGCACTCGAGACACAGACACACAGACATAAACACATGAATGGTACACGACGTTACGTAACGCGCATGCATCTAGCCAGCAGCAGCAGCAGCAGCAAATGCACGAGTTTTGTGTCCCGTGCGTGTGCTCGTCTTGTGAGTGTATTATGGTTTGTCTATCCTCTCGATCTATCGACTATGATATCGATATCATCTTTAGTTTTTGCCATCTCGTTTATAATACAAAAAATATAAGCAAGATTTACACTCGTTCGAAGCAATTCGACAGTACGATCGAGAAACCTCCGTGATCTTCGCGTACTTGACTTATAATATACCTACGCGATCGAAGCTATAGACTTGCAGCAAGACCAGAAGAGGTGTATAGAGAGAGAAAACGATCGATAGACGAGCGGTATGGGCGCACGCACCCACGTGTGTGCTGCGCGCGAGCTGCACAGCGGAGTGCGAAATAAAAACTTTTCCCATCTCCCTCCTTTTTTTTTGTTCTGCTCACCCTCGCGCGTTATATAGGCATTTTTATATATTTCCCGTGTGCGATCGCTTGGTTTTTATCGATTTTTTTTTCTGCTTCGATTCTTATATAGGTGTCGCGTTGTAGGCAGGCCCTCGTGTCTGTCTATACGTTATCCCGAATGTACGAAATTTCTTACTCGAATCGAGCCATCATCGATTCGCGTCGTAAATCGAACAATGCGGGGGGACCCGTGTACCGAGGGTAATTCGATCGGTTATTTCCCTCCGCAACGTAATATAATGTTACGCGCGCAATTATTTACTCTATCGGCGAATATTTTAATATCCCTAATGGTAATTAAATATTGAATCAATCTTCGTCCCAGCTTTCACGTATATTAACGAGCAAAAAGTGTCACGTCCAATCGTCAGCTGCACGAGTTTATATTTAAATAAACGATATTGTGCCAGAAAAACTCGGATGTTTGTCGTGGACCGTAACCCGAAGTTGAGCATTCTGAAAGCAAAAAATTTTGTATAATCAAGTCCCATAATTAACTTGAAATAATTGATATATTTTACTCCAATGCAAAATGAGTATGAAGTAAATGACAATGAACAATGAGCTCGATATTATGAGCTATACCAGGGCTTATGCAGATGGAGCTTTGCATCGTACAAACATCGATTTCGAGATCAGGATTCACGAGCCTCGCGGTCGTGTGCGCACGAGTAGACCCTCCAGTTCAATAATAATATCTAAATGTATCGAACTCTCGAATAATAACATCTAATTTTATCGAATTTTCGAGGCCTCGTATAATATTACGGAAAAGATGGGGAAAAAATTCGATCGAATTTACAAAGCGAACGAGAAATTAGTGCATTTGTAGAAAATCAGCCCCTCGACTTTCTGTTTCACGCGAATATTACTGTTGAGTATAGCTAGTCCATAATTCACGATGCACAGATTACGATGTTTGCTCGAAATGTCGTTCGTAACATTAGATGTCGAATTCGGCACGTCGAGATCGATCGCGTCCGATTGATTCTCGCTTTCCATAGACTCCTGCGTGATTTACGGAGCTTTTCGCGGCCTGTCGATGTTCAGTTATTCCTCGACGTTTCGTATACCTTCAAAGGGTCCAGTCGATCTCGTCGCGTAACTCTATCTTTTTCCTCTTTATTTATTTTCGTCTCGCGGCACGAGCTGGGCCGGTTGCTCGGTCCAACCATCACACTTATACAGGGGCCACTAGGCGGCTCCTAGTCAACTTCTGTCTGTTGGTACATCCTTTCTCTCTATCTCGCGAGTATATCAGCGCGGCCTGCCGAGCTCGATCGCCTGCCTGCTCGCTTTCTCAGTGTTGATCGTAGCGTTCGGTGTCGTCGAGCGCCAGAGACGTCTCACCGAAGTCAACATATTATCCGCAGTTCGATTCAAAAATGGCCACGAGCGATAACGACGGTCCTCTGCGAGATTTGATCAGTCGTTTGGAGAGCGTGGAAGAGGGTGAAAAAAGACGCGAAGATTTTTGCTTCATATTCAGTCATTGGTACCGTTTCAGAAACGCAGAATTGAACGATCGAGTCGTGATAGAGTTGATGAACTGCCGGAGATTGTTTCCCAGTGTCGAGGATAAGAGTTATTTCTTGAAGCACGCTTTGCACGAACGCGCCGAGGAAATGATAGAACTGCTCGAGAACAGCGGACTCGACATACACGAGGCTAGATTCGAAGATGGAGAGTCCGCCGTTCATTATTTGGCCGACGAATTATATTGGATAAACGATACGAGTACCGATCCAAAAGGAAAAGTTCTGAAGCTCATGGAATATTTTTTGGAGAACCCGGTGAGAAATTACGCGGACGAGGACGGTTACACGTATCTCCACGCGGCCTGCATGTCGGGCAACGTGCAGGCAGCGAATCTACTCCTGAGCCAAGGCGTGGACGTCAATCTCGACACGTACGTGTGTTCGCCGTTGCACATCGCAGCCCGGTACAGACATCCACGCGTCGTGGAGCTTTTATTGATGCGCGGGGCCGATCCAAACAAGCTGGACGCGGGGCAGTCGACGCCTCTTCACGCACTCACGAGGCTGTGTCTTTGCGAATGCACCAACGGAGTCCAGTTCTGCGACAAGAGAAAACCAGTCGATGAAATAATTCAAACGCTAATTGAGTATGGAGCGAACATCGAAGCTCCAAATCGTTATGGTGATAGTCCTCTGCATTTGGCGGTCTCTCGTTTCGATGTGCAGCTTGTCGAGTCGCTTCTGGCACACGGCGCGAGTCTTGACAATTTGTGCGAGTATAGAATGTTCGGCGCAGAGTTCAGATCGATCGAATTAGCAAACTATCCCCTCACTCTCAACATCATCGAGATGGTACAATTATTGCAGTCGGCAGGATTTAAGATGAGCTTGTACACAAGACTCAGGATGATTAAATTTTGGTTGAGCATCCGAGAAGATGATACCCAGCATCTGAGGCCCGAATTAGATGGTAGGGCAATTTTATCGATACAATAATTTTGATGATGATTAATTTATTGTTTTTATTTTATTTAGAGTCTATTCGAGACCCCATCGTTGCTCTTAAGCCAATTGTGTACAACTCGTTTATTTTTGATACTTTGAGTATTTATAAGAGTCAAGAAGTTATGAATTTCTTTCAACGAACACAAGAGAGTTGTGCAGACATCTGGAACTCTTGTCACGCTACTCGTGGTTTCGTTGACACTTGCAACCAACAGTTTGCGAGCACAAAAACGATTATGCTAACAAAGGACGTCTCGCTGTATAAACTTTGTCAAATGAGCTACGGTGAAGGTTACTCTAAATTAAAAAATATGGAGAATTGGTGTATCCCACCAATCAATAATTTATCTTGTACTGAGATAAACCTGATTGTAAAGAGACACGTAGCGAACATTTTCATAAGACCACAGTTGAAATTATGCGTAGCCGATCTTTTTATGGAAGATTACAGCCAATTGCATCTACCTTATGTCACTGTCCGCCGAGTTGTCGAATACATGAGTTACGAGGAATTAGTGCGTTTGTGCCGTCAGGCGTGATGGAACACAGCGAACATAAAGTCTAAGCGCTCATACGTATACCTGTAAATAAAATGTATAAATAATACGTATAATTAAGCACGATGTATAGTGACATTGCACTCGATCAACTACAGATTTATTATACTTTAATTAAAGTATGAAAGAACGAGAGAAGTCGCGTTGTCAAGGCAGTGAAATAAAAATGCATAGGTCCTATGGACTTATTTAAATTTTGTAAATGATTGGCATAATCATAAATGATTACATTATAATGTAACATCTAATCAATTTATTACTTAATTTGAACAAAGTAAATTCAATGAAGTTGTATAATAAATTAATGCCTTGCAACGAGAACTAATTTTTTAATTTTTAAAACTTGTTCTTCAAAACCTTCGAATCTCATCTATTCTGCACATTGAATTTGACGTAGACAAAATTTTTAAATGAATGTCTTGTGAAGCGTACTAAAATGATTTGCTAATTAACTTCAGAGACTCGGGATACCTACGTTTTATCAAAAAAAATTTTACATCGAACAGCATAGTCATGTAATTTTTAAAGTCGATAGTAAAATACATACTATCGAACATAGTCACAAGTTAGAAATTTAATAATAAATTTAAATAGTTATAATAGTCATAAAATACAAAACTTTTACACGCGCAACTATTTAGTGAATACCGAAAGATGCACCAGCGCGCAGAAAAAGAGCAAAACGACCACGGAAAAAAAAGTCCAGTTCGGCGCGTTCGCGCGCGAAATATCCGAATTTCGAGCCGCGTGCACGTTTACGAGCCTTTTCTCTATCTGCCCCCCGCTGCGACCCCTGAGAGTGTTCGAGTTTGTGTCTATACGTCCGTGTGCGCGCGCCGAGAAATTGATTGACTCGGTGCACTGACAGCTTGATTAATACCGATAAATCACGCGCGCCGCGTTCTGCCCTATGAACACCACCCACACACACAGTCACTGCGTGTATGTATCCTAAAATATAAGTTGGAAGCAGCACCGCGGCAGCACGGCAACTGCAACAGCGGCAGTGTATGATGACCCATGCGGACTTCTTTTTTGTCGCCACCGTCCGCGACAGAGCTTTTTTTTCGCCACTCCTCGCTGTCTGGGGAGGGGGAGATCGCGGGTCTTCTTGATTATCGCGTGTGTACGAGTCTATATAGGTATATAAACATGGTCGTGCGGTGCTTTCCGATACGCCAGAAACATCAGCAGCAGCAACACGCGACGCGACGGTCTGTATATATACGCTGTGGCCCAAGTGTTTGTTTACAGTATTATTTAACGACGTCGTTGAAGAAAGAAAATATATATCTCTATACGTTCGCGGTGATTTGCTCGCCTCTCGTATTTATGATACTGTTTGATGAATGATCGCTGTCTTTGTCGTGTGCCCGAAAGCTTATGGATTTTTGAAAAATGAACGAATCCGCAAGCTCTCGTGTGCTGCGGGCTCTCGTCCGCTGTGCTTCGTCCCTCCCTCTCCGTTATATTACATTATAACGATACGATTTTCGCTCGACTTGTGATACTCGCGCGTGATTCAATCGTACGAGTCCCTCGACGTCCCTTCCCGTACGCGCGGTATACGTTTCACGCGATTCTTCACGACGACGACGAGCTTGCGGCTACAGAAAACAAAAAAGCTCGCCCATCCTCGACAAACGGAATATTAGGGGGAGGACGGATACGCGTTCGCACTCGTATACATATTCCGCCCGTACACACGATATAATACGTGTATATCACGTTTCAGGCGAATAATCGTGCGTCCGTGAGCACGAATTACCATACATCGACGGGATGGAATTCGCAGCGAATCGCGTCGAGAGCCGACGATGATGATGATAGCCAAGGAGGCCAACGACGACGGCCGATATTACCGATCGGCCCGTAAATAACGAGTATAATTAGATACGGTATGTATCTGTGTCCGCGCGCAGTACGGGAGAAGATTCATAACCGCTTGTAATGTTATATACGATGATACGATGGTAGCACGCGCCAGTGGTCGTGGAATTGCAAAGCTCCGGCGTAAATTAGCCGCCCCCCCCCCCCTGCTCGCTATTACTTCTCCTTTGCTCGGAGCTAGCTGTCATCGGGAGCTTTGGGCTTCGGCACACGGCTACTATAGCGCAGCAAATTAATGAATCGCTACATCGTTTGAATTATTAACGCGGGGGCGGAAAGGGAGCTCTGAGGACCCATAACCGCGGTGGGCGAGAGCCGTAATCTCCGACGCTCGTTCTTTCCTACGAGCTTTTGGATACTACTAAGAAGCTCGAGCTCTCGTTAACGAATCGTGAATTTTTGATCATTTCGGGCGGACGATATAATACGCGCGTTATTTCGAGCGATCGCACTCGATGTACGCGCGCATCATCGGCATCGCTGCGTTTGTAATTGGAGTCCAGCTGCGGCCGCCGCTCGAGGCGCCTGCACATACCTCTCTATACACGCGTAATAATTCAGCTGCACGCACAGAGAGAGAGAGAGAGAGAGAGAGAGAGAGAGAAATCGCAAAAGAGCCCGAGCGAGTGAACCGAGCCCGCAAGCTCCGCTTGAAATAGTTGCATAAGCTCGCGCCCATATACTCTCTACCTCTCTATACTCTCTCGCGAGCGTACCCCGTATATACTCTCGGGCTCTATTTTTAACGCAAAAAGTTAAGTTTGCAAATTAGAATTCGCTCGCTCGCTCGCTCGCTGGCCGCGTAATATGCCGCCGCGGCCAAGCTCCCTATAGCTCTTTTCTCTCCGACTGCTGCTGCTGGCCCGTGCGAGCTCTGCTCGTTATTATATATACAACGACGGCGACGACGAGGCACGACGTTAAAAGACCAGATAGTCGAGCTTATGCATTATATGGTAAAAAATTACAGAAGCGCCGAGCGCGGATGATAAGCATATATACGTATCGTTACGTGCGTGCGTGTGTGCGAGCGGATCGTGCACGACGCCGCGCGCGCGCATTATATATATTCGTACACACAGAGCCGCGATGCGTTCAGAAAATTCTTCAAGGGCTTCTTCGCACGATACGTGTGTGTGCATGTGTGTGTGCTATATATATATCAACCCTTTGCCGCCGTCGCGCGCGCCGATCGATGCGCGCGCCTGTCTCGCTGTATTATCTGCGATCGACGAAGACTCGACGAACGCGTGTGCACGTTTTTTTTTTTTTTTTTCATTTAAGTATAAAACTTGGGTGTGTGTGACACGGTATATATACGCGGTGGGGAGGTTGTACGCGTATAATATATAAGTATGGAGATATTCGTCGATGTTTGATAAAGTGCACATTAACCGTAATCATGCGCCGTCGTCTCCATTATGTAATAAATTTTTTTTTTTTTAATAATATATCCGGTTATATCTCGTAGCGGAGAATATTAAGATGAATCGCGTTTACACCGCGGTTAGAGGCAAATAAGAAAAATACAACAAAAAAACCCGTACACATCGGAGAAATCTAATTTGAGAAAAATTCAATGCGGCCTGCCCCGCCGCTGCTTGTCACTCATCGTCATTTTTCAATGTCGATATTGCGCGCGCGAGCCCTTGCGGGCTCAAAGAGAGGTGAAGAGATACGACACGTCACGGTACAACCCCCTCTCTTCTAGGCTCTTCTTTAATGGCGTCGTGAAATATTCATTCTCTCCTCTTTTTTCTCCCTGTAAACAACGTTTAAGTGCTGCCTCCCGCGCGAATACCGAGTAACATTTGCACCCATGTACATATCTACACGGTACCGTACAATACTAATCTTGATTTTTTTTCTTTTTTTTTTTCATGTACAGGCTGCACGTCCGAGAGCTTTAATTATCAGCTGTGTAGGCGCGTGTGTGGGCGATCGATATTTCGCGTACGAGTGAAATGAAAATGACGAAGGGCGCAGGAGGTGGGAGAAAAAAATTGAATAAATAAATGGAAAGGTGAACCCATGCAGCCGAGCATGAATACACTCGACTCTTTCTCTCTATACAATATCTTTCTCTCTCTCTCTCTCTCTCTCTCTATGTCGCGAAAGCAAAAATAGCTTCACCATGACCGTTGCTGTTGGCGGCAGCGCTTCGCAGAGAGAGAGAGAGAGAGAGAGTTAGATCGCGCGCGAGCTGCAGCCGGCGACCGGTCGATTTAACAAAAGAATTATTAAGGCACTGAAGCAGTGGCCAAAGTGGCTCGTCGTCGTTGTTGGCGATGCACAATGCGCAAGAACCGAGTGCCATTTACTGTGTACTTGGGTGCACGTACCAGATACGATTGAAATTTTTCTCACCGTACGCCTAGTGCGAGAGACTCGCAAGCTCGAGTCTCGCTGCGCTGCTGTTTTATATATATGTGCTTATTGCGCTCGGCGGGCTACGGGCGAACTTTGTGCTCTCGCGCGCACGGTCCAAATCTGCTTTCCTAGATATGTGTGTGTGTGTGTGTACTCCTCGTTTGCAAAAGCTTCAAGAGTTCACTCGCGCGCCGTTCGAGGACCCTCGAATCATTTTAATCGGCTTTTAATTAATACACGTACGCAAACGCACGCGTCGTGCGTTATTTTTAAATACGTGAAAAACTTCTCGACTCGCGGATTAACTCGCGCGCGTATTTAATGCAAAGTCTATAAACTCTACCCCTCATCTTTTTTCACTCTCTTTTCAGGTGAATAAAAGCTCGTTCCTCTACTATGCCATTGCCATCGTGTGTGTATAATGTGCGCGCGTGTGTATATGAAAAAGAGAGAGAGGGAAGGATTTAGTGCAGATATTCTTGGCAGCTCGGAAGAGAGAGAGAGAGAGTCATTTCTACTGCATGTAGGACAAGCTGCATGTCCGTTATTAAAAGCTAACTTTCCTCCTCTCTCACACACTTACCTTTCTTATCTCTCGAGTTCTCACTCTCTCCCTCGTCTCTTTACGATTACGATTACGTCTGTCGTTACTTTTCTTATTTTGTGATAAACTTATAGTTGTTGATACGATAAACATATATCGTAGCGGGTTTGAATATAAATCCTCGAGATGAGATGGGCTCGCTGCCATCACTGCGCAAAAAGGTTTCACACAGGAATCGAAGCGAAGGCACGATAACAACAAAAACGTAAAAACAAATTGCTGCTAAATATTTTGTTAATAAGAAGAAATAAGTAGGGAAACTTTCGTGAATCACCCATACGCAAGAAGCTCTTGGCCTAGAAAAGTATATATTTCGCGCGCTCAATAATAGTGCCATGCAAAGCAGCAGCGGCACACACGCGGCGATGCGTAGCGCACCCGTGTTAAGCATCGTAATGAGACGCGGCCGTTATTTTCTCGGTGCGTGTGCAATACGGGGGCCCATACCGCCAATGTA